GACTGAACTAAAGTTTCTGCCATCTGGAGACCTAGGAGAAATTAAATTTGATTCTATATAAAGAGGTTAACATCTCTTCCATGCCTAAGTTTAGCCTGAGGATCCTACATTCTACACTCCCCTTAATACACATGCGTCAATGGAACCATCAAACAGAATGGAGCTCAAGATCCTCAGTGCATTAGGGCTGAGCTGGTGCACCCTGTGTGCCTGCACCCCCACCAGACCCACCCACTGCTGCAGTGACCTGGGGATCCTCCCTCCCTAGCCTGCTAAGAGGCCCCTGGGATTGTAATTTGGAGAAGTCTGATCAGGGATAAAATCACTATAGGATTCTGGATGATTCTTTGATATCCTTCCATCTCTACCCCTGCTTCTTCCTGCTGCCCCACCCAGAAGAGCCCTGGCTGGGGCATCACCTTACCCCCATTGGCACCCACTGTCCTGAATCTCTGACCACAGCTGTCCCCACCCATCAGTTATCCAGCAACCTCCTCTTTCCCGAGCCCTCAGCCACAGTGAAAGAAGCCATCATATATTATAAATCACATCCATAACAGCTCGTGTTTACTGCACACGGGCTGCAGGTGAAGAGGACGCACAGCTCAGCCCACCTCGTACGTAGTATTGTCCCCGATGGACCAGGGAGGAAGTAGAGGTTCAGAGACGTGCGAGCACACTGAGGATGGGGCTCCCTGGTCCAGGGGCTGCCGGCAGTTCCAACTTGGCTTAGACCAAATTTCTTGCAATTCCAAACCCGGAGGCCATTCCCGGGCCTGTGCTGTGGGCGGGAGGAGTAACCTGCGGTTCAGTTCAGCCTCTCTCTGGGAAACCCATTAAGCAAAGAGGAGTAAACACTGAGAGCCAAGCCGGGATGCCTCCAGTTTGCAAAACTCGGGTGCTTCCTTGTCCTGATGAATTATTCACACCCACGACCAGGCAGTAGATCAATAATGCAGGAGGCAGAAGCCTTGCCAGGGCCCAGCTTCCAGCCCAGCAGCTCTACTGCAGCTCCCCAGCCCTCCCCCAGYGGAGAAGCCATGGGGCTGTGTCCTGTCGGGTGGTGCCCAGGGCCTCTGCAGTCTAGCTGCCCTCAGCACACCAGGCTGGGTGCTGAGCTTCAAGGATCCCCAGGAAGGGGAGACTTTCTTCAGTTTCTATCCTTCTTCTGCTCACGGGGGCCATATTGGAATTCTCACAAAGGCATCCTATGCACCTGAGCCGACCCTGGGAATGGAAATCCTGTCCAGGACAAGGGTGCTGGAGACAGCATTGTTTCTCAGGGTGCCTTCCTTCTTCCTCTTCTTCTAAGCTTGGAGATTGGGGTTGGACACTCAAGAGAACCCAGGATGTAGCCAGGTGTGTTGGYACTTGCCTGTAATCCCAGCGGCTCAGGAGGCTGAGGCAGGAGGATTGCGAGTTCAAAGCCAGCCTCAGCAACTTAGCAAGGCCCTAAGCAACCTAGTGAGACCCTGTCTTAAAACAGAAAATAAAAAGGGTTTAGGATGTGGCTCAGTGGTTAAGCACCCCTGGGTTCAATCWTTGGTACTAAGAGAGAGAAAGAGGTGGGGCAGGAGGGTGGGCGAGCACAAGTGCCCAAGATATTCATTTTGGTTGTAGTAGAAGTTTCCCTCCAAGCAGCTGAGACACCCACTTGGCTTTCCCTCATCCCTGGATAGGTTCCAGAAGGTCCCACCATCCCTCGGGAACCACAATTTTGGGGTCCACCCACTCTGACCCTCCCATCCCAGGCTGCAACTTTACTGGCAACACTTTAGAAAATGAGGTGCAAGCCTCTGCTGCTGTGAGGCCGCCCAAGATTATCTGGGGTTTCTCTTGCCCTTCTCTGTTTCTCAAGCAAGCAAGGTGGTGAGAAACAAGATTTCCAAGCTTTTCTCAGTCAACACAATACATTCATTGTTAGCACAAAATGACGGAGCCCCGTGCAAACTTCATGGATCAGCACGGCTTTTCTTCAGTGGTGGAGTCGTGCCCTTGGTGGACCCACTTTCCTGATGGAAAATGAGCCACTGTCCCCAGGAGGAATCTGTGGTTATATGTGATACACTGAGAAGTGACTTAATTATTAATAGAGCRTGTCAGTTTGGGCACTCAGGAAACAGGTTTGTAAGAATTTGATATTTGTTTTACTGGATAGTATTTTTATTTGGGRAAGAATGGAGGGTCTGGAGTCAGTGTTCAGTGCTTATCTCTTTTCCTTCGGGGTCCCATTGTACTGTCACTAGGAAAGGGTTCATTTGGAAAAGGATCAATGCTTTGGCTTCTCCCCCCAGAGACTGCCATTCTAGGCTTGATGGATGTCTCCTTCCCGGGGATTTTCTTATCACTGGATGATGTTTGCTTCCTTCCCAGGGATTGTGCTGTCCCCGGGAAAGGATCCTTGTTATCAGTGTGTTGCCTTCTTCCTCACTCCCTCTTTCCAGGCCACACTATTTGGGGGTTTGTCATTTTTCCATATCTTCTACCCAGCAAGGAAGGAGGGCAAGAAGGATGGGAGGAAGGTTATTCTTTCCAGAGGGGAGACAAGGGCCCTATGGAGAAGCATCTCTCCAGGGCTCCCTATTTCTGAGTCAGACTTCGGCAAAGCTGGCCCACTCCTGAGGAACCAGAGAGCTGGAGGGAGGCATCTCCACCAGGCGCGTCCAACTTTAACGTGCATGTGAACCACTCAATTGGTAGGGTGAGGGTGTGAGTCTAGACCAGTGGCTCTTGGCCTCAAATGACCACGAAAACACCTGGGGAGCTTGTAAAACCTGGATGCACAGGCCATACCCCAGTTAGGCCAGATTTGCCAGATGTCAGGGTCGTGGACTGCTCACAGATGATTCCTATGTGTGACCMGGATGAGAAGCCTAGTCTAGATCAGCTCATTACTTTACTATGGAGAGACTGAGGCCCAGACAGGGGCTGGGCCCTGCCTCAGACTGCATGGCCGATGCATGGAAGATTTTGGCACAGGGTTGGGGTGCTTGGTTCCTGTGAATCAGATAAGGAGGCTAGGGAGGAGGAGGGCTGAGACTCAAAAATTAGCCTGAGGGAACCCAGAACCTTCCAGATTCTGGGATGAGAGGGGCCATCAGGCTGTGCCAAAACATCGTTATCTATGTCCCTCATATGCACCCAGCTCTTGCCCTCTCATACCTTCATGTTCTTGGTCCCCACAGAGCTGTGGGATCATCACCCTGTTTATAGATGGGGAATTGGAGTCCCCTTGACCAGAAGTACAGTCATCTGTCGTTGGAAGCCTCCTATGTCATGAGAGCTCCAAATTTTCCCTTACTGATTCCAAAATGCAAGTCTTTCCTTCAGCCCCTTTTAAATTTATGAAATTGAGTTCTGTCTGACAAATCATGCCAAAGACACATTCAGGCCACCAAGTTGGGCAGTAAACCAATGTGGTTACCATTGACAGGGCCTGGGTAGCAGATACCCATTCACCCTGGTGTGCCTGTAGTGTCACCCTGGTGGCCTTGCATCTTAATTTGTATCTCCAGATTGTGCTTAAAATGCCTTTGGAAAGTCACTTCTGGGCAGCATTTAGGAAGACTGCAGAGAAATACGTTACATGCCAGACCAGTGCAGCCAAGGACATCAAAATGGCCAGTTCCCTTGGAAGAGCTCACATACTTTTTAAGACCTGGAAAGGCTACTAGAATTCACTGCCTGCTTCACTTGTCTCTTTTTTTATCTTTGTGTTCCCAGGATCTAGTATAGGGTTTGGCGCATAATAGGTGCTTAGTAAAAGTTTGTGGAGGATGGATGGAGGGGGCCCATTCTGAGGGTCCCTAGAGAAAGCCTCCCCTGTTCTCCCCTCCAAGGTGCTGCTCCAGCCAGAGCTCCAGTGAGTACCCACCCACACYGTCACGGTGTCTACTGAATTGCTGGTCTTTCTCACTGGTTTGAGAGATCTGCAAAGCCAGGGCCCATGCTCATTCATCTCTGCATGACCACTGCAGGCCCCAGGCCGGCACATAGACTGTGCTTGTTAAATTGAGTTGCATGGAATCCTGAGATGAGATCAGTGTGCACACAGCCGCTTCCTGGTCCCTCAGGAATGCCTCTTGGGAAGTAGAGGAGGCCAACTCAAGACTAACCACTAGGAAAAAGCCTGAGCCCTAGGGGACAAAATTTGCACAAGGCCCACTCCTCCATGGACAGGCATGAGGTGGGCTGAGGACATGCTCAACCTAAGGCAGACAGACCAGTGAGGGGAGAGGACTGGGGAACAGGCCCATGACCTGGACCGATCCTTAGTTCCTATGTACACACCAGCCACAGCCCTCTGTTCTGTCATAACAGCAGGAGATGGGCGAGTCTGGGTCAGCAGCTGAAGAGGGTGTGCTGTAGTCTTGACATGGATTATTCCATTGGATGCTCTCATTTCCAGGTTAATGAGGCACAGAGGGGTTAAGGAGTTTCCCTAGGGGACTCTCCTAGTAAATAGCCTGGCAGGATTTGAACCCAGTGAGCTGGTTCCAGCTCCCATGCCCTGGTCCACTCTGCTATGCCCCAGCCTCTGGCCATCTGTGCCAGTAGCACTTCCTTGCCTTCCCTGTGGCCACCCATGGGCTCTGCCCATGCCCATCTCCCCAAGAGGCCTCCCCCATGGGACATTAAAAGAGCCACAGGGATTTATCATTGTGTGCAGAGCCCAGCATGTGGCTGCAGCCAGCCATAGTTGGTTCCTGACCTCTCTCTCCAGCCAAGAGCTTTCTTTATATCCAGAAAGAACAACTGGGGGCCAACGATGGGTCCAGCATCACCCAATAGTTTTAACTGAGACCTGGAAAGGATGGGTGATTTCCTTAGAGAAATACCTTGTGTTGGCTGTGGAGACCCAGTGTGCCCAGGGTCCCCAGGGGCCACTCCCAACACTGGGGACCAACAGGCTGAGTGATCTGCTCCCCCCTTGGTTGTTTGGAACCCCTGGACCTCCGCAGTACACAYACACAGACAGGGTGAACATGTGTGTTCAGCTTTATTTCCTTCCATGCCAAGAAATACAGAGTCACTGGTGTGAGTGGTGATGGCAGTGGGGAGGGGTTCCAGGGAGAGGCTAGATCGGTACCCCCAGCCAGGGGACCACCTGTTCATGCATCTGGTGGCTGGACCCATAATGGAGCTGGAATAGCAGGATCACTGTCCCTCCCGTTTCCAGCGCAGCAGGAAGGCTTCAGAGACCTTCCTTCCGTCGTCTCTCACTCCTGCCCTGTGCTTCCCTTGACCCTGGTATCACTAGAAGACTCTCAGGCTGCTCTGACCTGAGTGGAAGAACATTCCAGCTCAGCCACTCCTGGTGCTGTCTGCTAGTGGCTTCACCTTAGCAGGGCCCTTGACTGTTTTGGGATTGGAGCAGGAAAGAGGGTGTGTGTGTGTGTGTGTGTGTGTGTGTGTGTGTGTGTGAGAGAGAGAGAGAGAGAGAGAGAGAGAGAGAGAGAGAGAGAGATTCTGCAGAGTGGGAAGACCTGGGTATGGCCATGCTCTGGATGCTCTGAGGCAAAGGCTCACCTCTGCCTCACTTTCCCCATGGGACTGTCCCTAAGTCATGCAGTCCCTTTTCCTCTTCTCCCAGAGTTGCTGAACTTAGGGACCCCAGGGCCCACCAGGAGACCATGCCAGACCACGAGCCTGCACGTGGCTGATCCCGTAGACCTTACATCTGCCCTTGCCTGTCCTGATCTCCCCAGCGACAAGAATACTCTGGTTCACACCTCTTCCCCCTGTCACCCAACAAACCTCTATTTTGGTCCCAAAGAGCCCATAAAGCAAACCAAACTAGTCTCCCCTTCAGGAATGGGAGAGTGTATTCCCCCAAAAGAAACTGATGTAGGAACACAGTCCCAAAGGGATCCACCCAGCCTCCCTGCCCTCCCCAGGGGTCACACAGGCCCTGTCTGGAAGGCTCAGGGCTGCCACAGCACCAAGAGCACCTTCCGGCAGCCAGAGTCTCTGTGCTCACCGGCTCTGCTCTGGAGCCTCTGAGAGGCAAGGGCCTCAGAGAGGAGCATGTGGGTCCTGATGGAGTCCAGGCAAAACAGGCTGTGTCTGGGAACCTGTCCCCCCATTGAGGGTAGTAACCCTGGCTGTGAGGTGGGCAAGCCTGGGCATCTCTCTCCAGGTCTGAGTTGAAGCCAGGGGGCACCCAGGAGCAGGTGAGGCCCCTGTGGGCACAGCCTCTGCCCGGGAGAAATCTGGGGAGATCACAGGACCAAGGAACAGTGGGAGGCAGAGGGCCTTATTTAGCTCTTTTCAGGTGCCCCTCTAGATCCTCAAACTCAGAGGCTATGGCGTCCAGCCCCTGCCTCTGGGCATGTGAGTATATCTCCCAAACCTGGGGCCCCTTACTCTTCAAAGACTGGACCCTTCCACTAAGCCCTTCCTCTGTCTAGGACCTCTAGATCCAACCCAGCCCATTCCTTTTCAAGCAGCACAAATACCTCTAGCAGCTTGGAAGCTCATGGGAAGTCCCCTGAGGGTGGTCCCCAAACCACTTGAACAGAGAAAGCATTTTCTGCTTGTGGATGTCCAGGAACACTGGGCCAAACATAGAGCATCAGATGAGACTAAAGCCAGGCCCCACCCAAGGCACTCTGCATGGGGACCCTGAGTGTTAGGGATGCGAACCCCKGAGCCACTTTGCATAGGTTCTCAAGCTTGCACCCCAGATCATGGAGGAGGCCCCGGCAGGCCGAGCCCTGCCCTCCCCAMGGCTGACCTAGGTTGGGTCAGGTCCCAGAAGTTCCTGTTGGTGCTCTCCCAGGCTACAGCACAGGTAGGGAGCAAGAGGCACACTGAGTTGTCCTGGGAAGCATGCTGGGGCCAGAGTCCTCAGCAGAGGGGTTCCGAGGCTGAAAAGTTTGGGAAGAGGTCAGTGTGTCCTGCTGCCCCTGTACTCGCCTTCACCAATATCCCTGTAAGTGCCTCCACCCTGCAAGGGAGGTTTAAGTGTGTGGCCATTGCCTCTTTCCAGGGCAAGGCACCATGGGGTGCCCGAGGGCATGTGCCAAGTGGCAGCTTCACCTGTGAGCTCAGGTAGGGGGTCACAGCAGGCGTGTGGCACAGAGCATGCAAAGTGTGCTTTTGAGAAAAATATAAAAGGTAAAGTCCCACATCTTTGCTCCTGTCCAAGGAAGGAAGGGCCTGGGCTGCTGCTTTCTCTACATAATTGGTCTTATTTGTGGAGCTGGTTTTCTTCTCATTCTGGCAGTTTATGCTACTTCAAAGGTCCCAGGAAATTGCAGGCACGAGGAACAAACCCAGAGCCTTGGGGTCAAAAGGCTGGGATGTGTCCAGGAGATGAAACCACATTATTCATAGTTTTCATGGTAAATTTAATTTCCTTCTTTCTTTCTTTCCTTTCTTCTTTCCATTCTTTCTCCAGATTTTCCCATCTGATGTGGACTGACAGTGGGRTAACTTGGGGTTTCCCTCCAAGTTTGTGCTTTTGGAGCTTGAGGACAGGTGGGCACTTGGCAGTCACCATCTAGTCCTCCTGTGGTACAGGGTGTGGGTTTGGAGCTCTGTGGCTGACCAGGGTCTTCCTCTGCCTGCACGGCTCCCTGGTTACTTTTATTTCTTCTGAACTGTAAAGAAAAGAACATGTATGAAAGAAGAGAGTGCAGAACATTGAGTTTTTAAGTCCTAGAGTTGAGGATTTGGTTTTTGTTTCCTAGTGGGAAAACTAACGGGGCTAATCAGAATCAGCCCTAGGACTTTTGCTATAATCATCGACAAAGAATCATTTTTGCACACACCTGTAATTACARCTACTCAGGAAGTCAAGGCAGGAGGGTTGCAAGTTCAAGGCCATCCTGGGCAACTTAGTGAGACCCTGGGCAACTTAGTGAGACCCTGTCTCAAAATAAACATATAAAAGGGCTGGGGATGTAGCTCAGTGGTAGAGCAGTTGCATAGCATGTGCATGGCCTTGGGTTCAATCCCAAGTACAGAAAGAAAGGAAGGAAGGAAGGAAGGAAGGAAGGAAGGAAGGAAGGAAGAAAGGAAGGAAGGGAGGAGGGAGGGAGGGAGGGAGGGAGGGAAAGAGAAAGAAAAGAAAAAGAAGCACTTTAAAAAAATATTTGCTGTTGATGGACTTTTTTTTTTAATTTGCTTATATGTAGTGCTGAGAATCGAATCCTGTGCCTCAAACATGCTAGGCAAATGCTGTACCACCGAGCTATAACCCCAGCCTCCCAAAGAGGCACTTTTTTCTCTCCTTACTGGACTGACTAAAATGTATGCCACTCTTAGGGCCACTATGAGACCTGCTGGTTTCCATCTTGCCACCATAAGGAGAGATCCTGCCTAGSAATAAAGCCTCATAAGCTGACACTAAGCTGATGCTCCTGCCTCTTACAYACCTGCACATCCATCTCCCTTTACACTCATGCCGTAAACTGAGCCTCAGAGGGCTTATGGAACATGCTTCCATTTCCACAGGGAGAAAGTGGAGGCCCTGGATTCTGAACCCAGGCAAGGTGACCAAAAACCTGAACACTTCCCTCTCTGGAAAGCCCATCATTGTCCTTGGTCCCACCATGGAATCTCAAACTCTCTGCCCCAAGTTGAGCTCTCCACACTCCTGACCAGCGCCTCCCCCATTTGATGATTGGACTGAGAATCTTACAAAAATTCAGTGGGTGGGTGGGGGTAGGGCATTTCTGACATGGTCCCAGGTGATGCCCCTGCTGCTGGTCCATGGAACACCTTTTGAGAAGCAAGATCTGTAGAGAAGAGATCTGTTTGATCACTGAACTGGGAGACAGGTCCCAGTGTGCGGGCATGGGGCAGCTCTGAACTCACAAAGCTGCATGGGCTTTATGAGCAGCTGAGCGTCTCCTTTGAAAAGGGTTCCCCGGCTGGAATGACTTCACTGGGTCACCTCTGGGTGGTCAGAAGTGTGGCTGCTTCCTGGATCTCTGTGCATGCATTGTTTGCTTCTGAGCCGCCCAGGCTGTCTGACCCAGGAGGCTTGTGCCTCCAGCCCAGAGTACAGAGCAGAGTCACATCCATTATCTCAAGTGATGCTCACAAAAGCTTCCACTCCAGAGGTTTCTTCCTGGCACTTTATACAGGAAAAACACTGAGGYTCAGCCAGACAGGACACTGGCCCAGGTCCCAAGACCATCGGGCTTTAAGGCCTGTGCCCTTTCCACACCCTTTTCTATTGATTCACTGTCCAGGCAGAAGACAGTCAGAAAGCCCATCCCCACTCAGTCGTCACTGCTGGGGACTGGTCCACTTTTCTGGAAAGAGAGGATAAGACTATGCCTCCCACCCCGCTTGTATTCTCCCCTCACCCACCCATTGCCCCTGCCCCAGGGGCTCCCCCTGCTCCATGCATCTGGGCCTCACCTGCAAAATTGACGGTGAYGGCCACGATGATGATGATGATCCCCATGATGATGAAGGTGATGCTGAGCAGCCGGGCCAGGCGGCCCAGCCTCCGGGCCCCATCCAGGTCCCCCTGCTGCACACTACTTCTAGACTGCAGAGAGAGGACAGCAGAGAACTCAGGATGGGCGTCCATCAACCACATAGACCTGGGCAGCCCTCGGTGGCCTCCACATGGGCTTCCAGACACACGTCGTCCCCCACTGCCACCCACTCCAGTAGCCCCCCTTAGGGAAAGGAAGAAGGCTCCCCTTGGAGAAGTGGCTTGGGCCTCTTGTGGGGACCCTAATCAAGATTGCCCCTCACTGGCAGGGAATAGATGGAAGCAGAACCAAGAAATTTAGGGCACTTTCGCTCAGGATGGTGACAGGGATTAGAGGCAGATGGTACAGTGGAGACCCAGGGCCTGGGAGGGTAGGTCCAGGCTGACTTGCAGGAGCAGACAAGCCAGAGTCCCCTGGACCTCAGCCCAGGGCTCAGTCCTGCAGACACATTGGAACCCCAAGRACCCCTGTGGTTCTGTGGTTCTGCCTGCCTCCTTTATTCTGAGCGTCTCCCTCTTACTACAAAAGAAAAAATGGACTGTCCTCCCTCTTGGTATTGCCCACTCAAGACCACATCCTTTTTTTTTTTTTTTTTTGATACCAGAGATTAAACCCAGGGCACACTTACTTACTGAGCCACATCACCAGCTCTTTTTTGTATTTTTTTAGAGACAGGGTCTCACTGAGTTGCCTAGGGCCTCATTAAATTGCTGAGGCAGGCTTTGAACTCTTGATCCTCCTGCCTCAGCCTCCTAAGCTTCTCGGATTACAGGCATGAGCCATTGTGCCTGGCAAAGACCACATCCTTCTTCAAGCCCACCTTTCAGACCGTGCAAGAAAGGGGAGATGTCTCAGGATTGTCCTGGAAAGCTAGGATTGTGGTACCAGGGCCCTTTTCTATGACTTGCTCCTCCTTGGTGAGCTGTTTTTCTTGAACCTAGTTAATCTGGTGAAATCAGGTGGATGGAGGTGAGGATTAGGAATCTGCAAGGGTGGCCCTATGCCCTTGCCTAGAATGGTCAGGGGTCACCTGCTGGCCAGGACTGGCCCCATGACCTCAGATTCTTTTTTTTAATCACTAAATTCAATTAAACTTGTTCATTCTTTTTAGATATATATGACATAGAGTGTATTTTCACATATTATATACATGGAGTATATATAATTTATTCTAATTAGGATCTCATTCTTGCAGTTATATACGATGTGGAGTTTCACGGGTCGTGTATTCATATATGAACATAGGAAAGTTATGTCCGATTCATTCTACTCTCTTTCCTATTCCCATTCCCCTCCCTTCCCTTCATTCCCCTTGGTCTAATCCCATGAACTTCTATTCTTTTCCCCTGCTCCTTGTTGTGTGTTAGCATTCATGTATCAAAGAGAACATTCATTCGGCCTTTGGATTTTATTGGCTTATTTCACTTAGCATGATAGTCTCCAGTGCCTTACATTCACCAACAAACGCCACAATTTCATTCTTCTTTAGGGCTAATATTTCATTCTGTATATACACCACATTTCCTTTATTCATTCTTCTGTTGATGGGCACCTAGGTTAGTTCCATAGCCTAGCTATTCTGAATTGAGCCGCTATAAACAACGATGTGATGGAGTCACTCTAATATGCTGATTTTAAGTCTTTTGGTATGGACTGAGGAGTGGGATAACTGGATGACCTCAGATTCTTTATTAGATTCTCTCTATTCTTCCTGGACTTGATAGACTTGCCCCAGCCCCCTCTGGCAACAGGCATAGGAAGCAATCCACCAAAGTGACTGAAGCCTGGGGGCTTCAGGCCAATCACTTGGTTATTTTATTTTTTGACTCTTAGAGGCCCCTGAGTTTAGCATGGAAGTGTGGTTAAGTACCTTGAAGAGGAGGAGGAGGGGGAGGGGAATGATAATGGTGACTTATTAACCTCTTACTTTGTGCCAGGCAGCTAATGAGCTCATTTAGCCTCAAAATCATGCTAAGAGATTAGCCGTGCTGCTCCACTTCCCTAAAGGAAAATYGGAGGTTCAGAGATGTGACCTTTCCTCTCTCTGTGCCCTTGATTCAAGACCAAGGTCCTTTCACCTCTCAGAATTCTAACCAACTCCCCCCACCCCAACTCTGCACTTCCAAGTTACTTTTAGGACAGTGTGACAACTACCTCCATCTGCTCCTTACCTGTAGGACTTCTCTCACTCACCCAAGTCCCAGTTATTGGCAGCAGCCTCAAGTCCACCCTGCGGGTCACAACTCCTCTGCCATTCCAGCTTGCTAATTTGTATCCTTATTTATTTTTCTAGTGTCCAGGATGGAGCCCAGGGCCGGGTGCATGCTAAGGAAGTGCTCTACCACTGAGCCTATCCACCTTGCTCATTTGTCCCCCATCCAAGTCAATTCTATCGCCACTCTCCTCTCTAACTTCCTTTTACCTGTCCTTGTTCTAAGCACCCCTTTCACTGGAGCTATGGCAACAGCCTCCTAAAGATCCCCTGGACCCAAGCTCTGTCCCCCATTCTCCTCTCCCCACCGCCATTTCACATCACAGACACTGTACCAGACCGCCAGGACACACAGCAGGGTGTGAGTTCCCCCGTCCCAGTTCCTAGGCTCATGGGACTTACATCCTGCTGGCCTCCTTTACAGTCACACAAAGAAAGGCAAAATTTTAATTGTGGGTAGAGTTCCAAAGGAGAGCTACGTGGTACTATGAGAACTTACAAAGGGGGAGTCAGGGAAGCCTCTCTGGAGGAAGGAGCCTGGAGCTGTTGTGAAGGATGAGTCACAATTAAGCACATTATTTTTCAAAAGGAAGAAAAGTGTCCCAGCAGGAAAAAAAAATCATATGCAAATCATATGTGTGTCAACTATGTAGATGTTTATAAACAGCTGTTGGCTGAAGGAAATAGGAAGTAGATAAAGGCCCATGTGGCTGGAGCTGAAAGAGTGAGGACAAGGAGGCTACAGAGGGAGGCAGGGCCAGGCCAGGTAGGGCTCTGCCAGCACCCAAAGGAGGTGGGTGTTTGTCCCAGAAGCAGTGGGAGCCAGTGAAGGATGTCTGGCCAGGGGCAGGGAATGAGATGACTGGGTACCAGTTTTTTCTAAAAGATCCCTTTTATCTTGCGGGGATAAGAGGGGGGTCAGGGAGGCAAGTCAGGAGCTGTTATGTAAGTTCAGTGAGATGATGGAGGCTGAGAGGCATCTCTCCTGCTCAGCATCCTCTGTGGCTCCCCATTGTCCACAGAACAAAATCCAACTCAGCTTAGCTTCATTTCCTGTTTGAAATCATCTACTCTTCTCTTCTGCAACCTGTGGGCCCAGCTGCTCTGAGCTGTCCAAGGTGAGATCACTGACCTCCTCTGCTCCTGCCTGAGTTTCTGCTTTCCCCCAGCACCAGGTCCAGACCCTCCTCATCCCTTGAGGGCCGGCTCTGTTTCAATGCTACCTGCCATGTGAAGCCCACCAAGATTTTCCCACCTCTGCTGGAATAATACTCGCCTCATCTGAGCGTATGCTAAATGCTCAGGGAATTTCATCCTCCAAATACTCCTATGAGGCAGGGATGGAGCCAGAGCATAGAGAGCCGTGCCCGCAGGGTAAGAGAAGCAACAGATGGAGAAAGGCCCCATCAACAAGGACTCTGACTGGTACATAGTGGAGTCTGGACATTGGGAACCAATGGAGGGTTTTAAGTGGGGACTTGAACACGTCAATGTAGACTTGCATTTTGGGAATGTTCTGCCCAGCTACAGTGGAGGTGGGGAGAAGACAAATTCAGATTTATTGTAAGTAGGGGACTGGGGAAGAGTTCTGATTAGAGATATTGTGAAATGAGAAGGTCAGATGAAATGTGGAGAGGGGCTCGCTGGGACCATTCCCAGGCTTCTGGCTTGGGGGRGTGGGTGAACAGAGATGCTCTTCCTAGAGATGGAGGAAGAGTGCATGTCCAGGGTGGGCCCCGTTCAGGTGAGAGTGCCTGGACGTTGTGAATGTGTCTGTCCAGTGGGATCCAGAGGCCCAGAGCTCAGGGAGCATCAGCACAGGGATGGAGTGTGATGAGCTCCAGGGAGCACGCAGGGGGAGGAGGACAGGTCCACAGGCCTGTTGTCCTGTGTGAGGAGCACTGACTGGTAAAGGAGGGTGTTGGGGAAAAGAAGCCTGTCACAGGGACTGAGGAGCGACCAGAGGGGAGGAGAGGGTGGCATCCAGGTAGTTTGAGATGGAAGTTCAAAAGGCCCATGGTAGCTTCTCATGCATGGAGGTCAAGTCCCATGAAGAGGAAGCTAGTGACCATGAGAGGACTTGCGTGTCTTTGGTGGGAGAGGTTCAGAGCAGTTGTGGAAAGGAAACCAAATGGAGCCATATAAAAAAACAAGCAGGGAATGAGCAAGGTCAACAGCAAGGAGAGACAGTCTTGAAAGTTTAGCTTTGGGTGAGCAGGGAGATAGCAAAGGAGCTACAACAGGATGAGACCCAGGGAGGGGGAGTCTTCAAGATGGGAGAGGAAAAGATCTGGCCAAGAGGGAGAGGGCAATGAGGTCGAGGAGTGTGACTGGTGCCACACCATGATGTCCAGGGCAACAGAAAGGCTGAGGCCTGGACTTGCACCCAGATATGAACTGTGGACAGAGCAGTGAGCACACCTGTCCCTGGAGACTGAGCAAATGTAGGGGCAGGTGAGCTCTCACCTCCACAGGTGTGTAGTGGGCCTGGGCAGGAAGCTGGAAGTGATCATGCCTCTGGGCCTTGGGGTCCTTAGTGACCATGGACTAGTGTCAGCCAGTAAGGGGACAGAAAAGGTGGATCTGGCTTGAGAAGGGGACATGAGCAGAACTACAACCCATCCTAAGACTCTCGGAAGGGACCCAACCAGGAACAGGTATAGACTCCAGCTCCCTAGCTGAACAGACTGGATAAGAACCCAGGTTCTGATCCTGACCACCTGGATACCTGCCCCAGCTCCACCATTAACTATGAAACCCTGGACAAGTGGATTCCCTTTTCTATGTTTGTCTTCAAAATTGGGGTGAAAAATAGATACTGTCTGGGTATGTGGCTCA